CAGAGCCTGTATAAATGTTGTTCCTGTTGGTCTTTTGCGGTTTCTGTGTGGCACTGTGGCATGCTTGCACTGCCAGTGCCACTTGTTCTGGAGTGTGCCAAACAAGCACCTCCCAAGACAGTTCACTTTCCCTGAGATTCTCTGGGAGAGTCTGACTGCTGGGTGCTGCCTGCTTGCCTGCCTTAAGTGCTGCTGGCTGGGTTTCCCCATTGGAAACAATGGAGGTAATGGGGGTAACCTGTTTGGGTGCCCAAAGAATTGAGCCCACTGGTACAATTGCTTTGGGACATGGGGGTTTATGTGGGAAGAGGCTCCCAAAGCTACCCTGAAAATTTGGAGCCTCTCCCTCAAACCGCCCCCCCCCCCAAGCCACTAACAGCACTGTGGGGGAAAAGTAACTATTTTCCCTACCATAGAGAACAATGGAGGGGATGGGGGCAACCTGTTTGGGGGCCCGTAGAATTGGACTCCCTAGTCCAAAGTTCTTCAAACTTGGTTGGTATCTTGGCGATAGGCTCCAGCAGCTACCCTGCGAGTTTGGAACCTCTCCCTCAAACCTCCTCCCCTCCAGCCCCCAGAATATACCCTATGTTTTCACTATTGACTTCAATGGCCCATAGGATATAATGGGGCTGAAATTGACATTCGGCTGGCCAAAAGACTCCCCAATGGGCTCATACTGACGAAACCGACATGCAAGAGTCTTACTGCCGGACAAAATTGATTCTGCCTGATTCGGCCGAATCCAAATCGGCCACTTTTTTTTTGCACACCCCTACCTTAGTGGTCACTAGGCCTCCTTACACCCCCATTAAGACCAAGGCTGGTGACTGTATGCCAGACAGTGAAATATGGCCATCCTTAAGACAAGGTAGGATTTCTGCAGAAATACATTAGCTTGTAAATTAAAAATACATTCACAACAGCCTGATGTTCACTCACCTTTTAGCACAGGATGTTAAGGGCTACACTGTTATTGATCAGCAGAAGACCAGTTGCACCCCTTATAGCTGACAATACCCCCCCAAAGGTCAATTTTTAAATGAAGGCAGTATGCCATGAAACAGCTCCTGTTTCATGTGATTTTGCATGGAGATATTTAAATCAGGCCTCTGCCCAATGAATGTATCAAGTAACGTGAAACTGGTTGCTGTGCACTGAATATTTTAGAAGATGTTAAAGTATTAGGATGAAAATATGCACACCTTCTGTACTAGTCAGTGCTTCTTTGTTTTAAAAAGTGCTGGTACTCATATATAAGGTTGCATGCACTGATTTCCACCAATTCCCCCCCCCAGGACTTAAGAGCCCCCTAAAAATTTGCCAGGATACAGTACCTAGGAGTACCACCACAACAAAACCCTGTTTTATACGGGAGGGTAGACTTGTATACAAGAGCAGCATACTTGTGTAAATGAAGTGTTTAAGAGTATGTTTATGATATTTATGTAATTATGAGCAAAGGAGTACTTATGGAAATAATATTGTCTCACTCTTGATTTATTCTTAGTGGGAGGAATCTTTCTTCTCTATCCAACTCCAAAATGAAACAATTTATGGCATCACCATTACAGCCTGAATTTTTAGAGCTGACCTTAAAACTTCTTACAGCAGTACCAAAATTTATGTCTATTTTGGTCTAGCAGTTAAATCTCTATGGTCACTCTTTGGAGAAGAGTGCAGTGGAAGAGCACTTTGTTTGAGAACCAGGTGATCAGTCTTAATGGCACAGGACTTGTTAACACCTAACTTTCATATGATTTGGGGCACCTATTACAGACCAATGTGCCAGGGCAAAGTCCCATGGAAAAATGCTCTAGACAGCGTCACATAAAAAGTAGGCATCAGTTACCCTTATGCAAGTGTGTAATCTGTTCATTCACCAACAGTGATACAGACCAAAGCCTCAATACAATTATTCCATCTCCCAAGAAGAAACAGTTTAATCAGGTCTAAATGTAGCACACCTAGACTGCATAGTACAGTTCAGGTGGGAGCACACTCCTGTATATAACGCTTGACAATCAGCCTTCTTTCTGAAAGGTCATCAAGGACCAATGGCCAGAAGACACTTTTACTTCTTCACAATCTGAATGACATCTTCATCCTCCATCGTATGATCTTTGCCAACTTTCTGTGGATTGTGTTTGACAGATGAGCCCCATACAAGTGCACTGAAACAGAACGTGGACAAATTAATAAAACACTCAACAGTCTATTGTTTATACAGATGCAGCAGCGAACATGTTGCCCCTCATTCACTTATTAATCCAAGTGATTATTACTGAAGTCTTGCTTTCCTTCACAATCTCTATGAAACTCTCAGCCATGTCTTACAAGAAACTGCTAGTGCTACCATCTCCCCCATCTTTCTCTCGCCTTCTTACCCATGCTATTTCCTTGCCTTTCTCCTTCAATGAACATCTTGCATTATATTATCAAATTACTGCATACCACTGTTGTTCCAACATGCTGCTGGCAGTGTTCCCTCTAAGTTGAGTTAGTGTGAGCTAGCTCACAGTTTTTTAGCCTCCGGCTCACACATTTTTGTTTCAGCTCAGGAAGGATGGCTCCAGAGCACACTAATTTATGCAGCAGCCAAATCGCTCGCTCACAACTTTAATGCCAGCAGCTCACAAAGAAGAATTTTTGCTCACAAGACTCCACAGCTTAGAGGGAACATTGGCTGCTGGACATGCAAAATGCATGAGAATATGATAACAGAAAGCAAAGTACAGTAATTCCTCCCAGAGGAAATCTGAACAGTGTTATGGACTGCCTAATCAGTTATTGTGTTTGCTTTCTTTCAAATACAGAACAGGGGAAAATGCGGTCAACAAAATTTTTAGGAGCGTTGTAAAGCTTGAACTGAAAATGTCAGCAGAAGAGAAAGTATACGTTGGTGGAGAAGCAGCAGTGTGTAAACTAAACTTACTATTTAAACTCTTTGATAAGGTTTTTGTGAATCTTCATGCAGAAATCCTCCACAGTGGTCCTGGAGTATGGCAATACCACTGGAGATGAATAATCTGGGAGCTGTCCTTTGGGCTTTGTGTAACTGCAAATTCAAGTTAAAACCATTAATGCACATCTTTCAATTTAGTAAGCAGAAGACATTCAAGACACCATTTCCTTCTAACTAGGAGCTCCTCTAATGCCCAGTTCTTGCAAACAGCAGGTAAAGTAAAGCTGTTCCTTCTTAACTACGTCACTTCAGACTGCAGGTGGGGAATCAGGGAAGAAGCCAAAGTAGAACCCTTCTCACTAACTAGTTATCTGTGGAAGGACATGGATGTGCATTCAACCTGAAGAACCCCCCATTACCTGTGTTACACCTGGGATTCATACTCATGAGGCTGCACAGTATAGCCTCCAAGTACTATTTTACAACATTTCCTCCAGTTGTCCAGAGGAAAAATTCAGGCCTGTGCAAGCTACCCTCCCCACTTTCTCATCCCTCACAGAACAGACTGACTGATTTGTAGAATGTTTTATTACAAATCCCCTTGGAGTGTTAGCCTGCTTTGTTTTCAGACAGAGAACTAGAAGTGGGAGGCTTAAACTAGAAGTGAAGGCCAGGTACAAAGAGAAAACAGAATTATGCAGCAGCAGGAATAGGATTCTGAGACATTTGCAGCCCTAACAATGCAAAATTCAGACTCACATTCGTACAAGTTTCAGGTAGTCCCAGATTTTTTCCAACAGATCATCGAAGTTCCACCGGTGGTGAGCAGAGATTGGAACACAGTGAGGCACCTTGTAAATTATGTCTAGCTCCTCAATGGAGATCTGGTCGATTTTGTTCAACACATAAATGCAAGGTATGTAGACTCTGCAAAGGAAAATAAATTACATGCAAAACTGTAAAACAAGGCACATGGATTACTCCCTCCTACTGAAAAGTTCCATTCCTGGGCCAGCATGACAGGAAGCATTTTGAAATGAACCCTTCAAATTAGATATACCCACACTTGACAGCATGCAGCCAAACTGAGCAAGACACTCACTTCAGCTGCAGAATGGCAATGGACAGAAGCCTGGGTAGAGGAATAGGTGCCTTCCCCATGCATCCCCCACATCCATGTTATCCTTTAATGCATAAGGCCCATTTCTCTGGGAATAACATTTTCAGTTACTAAAAGGGCCAAAAGCAAAAAGCCTCTGCTACTGGACTCATTGGGAGGGGTGTACAGCCTCTCACCTAACTTCTAACACTGAAATTTCTTAAGTCATTGGAGTGAAAAACTTTGCAAAGTGATACACACCCCTCCATTAAAAAATATCTATTTAACATTGTGCAAATGTGGACTTCCATATGCATCACGTACCCTAGATTCTGGTTTCCGGGTGTGTGTGTGTGTGTGTGGAATGGGGAGGCATTTATGACACAGTATGAGAGCTCAAGCACCCAAACCCAACAAAATCAACTAAGCCTACAGATTCTATTCAAACAGTCCAATTTGTAGATCCTCTTGCCTTACCTGTTTCCTTCAACCACATCAATGAGGTCATCGGCAGTAACATCACTGCGCAGTGTGACATCCGCATTGTGAATTTTATACTCCGCTAAGATGCTTTTCACAGTTTCGGTGTCCAACTCACTCTGCGGGCACTGATGTGAAGAACATAGTCTAGTAATTGGAGAATACTTCCTGCCCCAATAAATAACCTACCCCTCACAATGGATGAGAAGTGTGATCTCTTTTGTTGCTTTGTGGGATAGGTCACGAGTCAACTGGCAGTGTAAGAGCCTGCTGCATGATGCTGTCCCACCCTGTCAGTTTTGGCAGCATGGGGCTCAGGATTTCCACAAAGGGAGGGGGAAGGAATGTTTCTGAGCCGGGATAGATCCCACAACATATTGGAAAGGTCCTGTGGGCACCAACCCATACTGTGGTCATCCCAGTTGGAAACCCTCTCAGAGGAAAGCACATCCCTGTATACCCATTCTGGCCTCCATTGGAAGACCTGCACCTTATCTAACCTCTCCTCTATGAGAGGGAGAACTCTCAATAGTAATTCTAACCAGAGAGCATACTAACGTAGACATTTTTTCTGACTTTTCTGTTTGCACCAAGGACAGGAGTGCACAGCTCTAACAGACCATAGTTCTCCACTCCCCCACCCCTTTCACTAAGTATCTTACTGCTTCTTCATATCATATGATAAAGAAAACATTCAAGGCAGTGTGCTCTTTGCTTAGGATTACTACGGAGGAGTTCTGCCACAACAGCCAAAGCCTGCATTGCAGGTTTAGCGGGAGAATGCTTTGAGATTACACTACCAACACAGCATTTTTCTAAGAAACAGAGAGCTTCCTCCATGCCCTATTAAAATTATATAAAGTAGATTGTATATTGTCATGCTTACAGTGGCTGTGAGGTTGATGCCTCCTTTATCCTTCTTCTTAAAGCCGATATTAGGAGGTTGGCTATTCAACCGTATTCCAAAGCCCTCCAACTCATTCTCAATGATCTTCTTATGTCCCAGAGGCTTCAGAACATCCAGAACTATCAGGATAAGGTTGCAGGTTCGAGCAACTGCAGAGAAAGAAAGGGATCTGAAAAAGATGTTTTCTCAGTTCCTTCAGAAATGCTGGGAATTTGAATAGCATGTGCCATTTTCTATTACAAGGCAAACAGAGACCGTATCCATCCTGGTTTTGCAATCACCTGTTACAGGCAAGAATACAAGTTATTTCATATTCTTAATGGTGAAGTGCACAATGAGGAGGAGGGTTGAAGATTACACCACTGTATAGTTCGTTCATACGCTCTGTTGCTGTAAGTAGGCTCCTACGATGTCATTTTTGCTTTTGTTTAATGTGTCATGTTAATGCTTATGCTGTGTTTCACCTCTGGTTGGTTTCCCAGATCTCTACAAGTCAAATGCCTATTGCACTGTCTCCTGGATGTCCCACTCTGTTGATTGTACTGATTTATTCTGCATAATACGCGAGCCCCAGTGAGAAAGGCAGGCTATAAATAATATAAAAAATAAATTCAGATACAGGCAACAGAAGCAGATAAAAAGCCTCACTGCTGCTTTCCATTTATGTGGTACATTTTTATCACTCCGTCCCTCGAAGTCAGGGTGACACACAGGGTTCCCCCTCTGCCATTTTATCCTTGCAACAACTGAATGAGTTAAGCTGGGCCAGTCATTTTCTCTCAGCCTAAGCCTAAGGTCACCTGTAAGCTTTATGGCTGAACGATGATTTAAACCTAGATCTCCCCAAGCTTAAGTCAAACTCCCCAACACCTACAACACCACAAACATTAGCAATGACTAAGAAGGCCATACTACCTATATGCATTCCACCTGCAAAATACTCCACCCTCCCACCAGCACAAAGACACTGGGAATCTGGAGAAAGATTCCTTCCCCAGACACTGCAAGGCTCACCTGCAATGACCTGGCGACCTCTGCCCTTCCCATCTTTGGCACCCTCAATAATTCCTGGAAGGTCAAGAAGCTGTAGGTAGGAGAAAAGGAATCCATTAGGCAAAATTAAGAAGTAAGACCTTGCAACCCTCTCTAGCCATGGAGAAATCCAATATGACTTAACAGAAAAGATACAGCCTTGTCACATGAACACAAGAAGCTGCCTCCTACAGAGTCATATCTTTGGTCAATTGAACCCAGTACTGTCTACTCTAACTGGAAGTCTATGCTAATTGGCAGTGGCTCTACAAGCTCTATCTCGGCTTTTCTCCTCAAGATCACTTTTTCCTCTCCTTGTTCTTAAAAATGCTTCTCCACCAGTAGTAGAGTAAGTAACAAATGAGGCATTAACACAGAACTATCTTGAATCCATTTCTTTTGTATTACATTTCCTCTTCAGGCAAAAACACAAAACAAACAAAACTTTGAGAAAAGAAAGTTCCTTAAAACAGTAATGATAAAGTCACCTACTGCTATTTCAGTCATTACTGACATGAATGGAGGGCCTCACTCTTATTTGAGCCAATAGAGGAGCTTCTGTTCCCAGACAAGAGAAGCACTCAAAAATACTTGGCTAACCCAACTTCAGCAGTTGTCCTTGAACAGCAGACTACATCCTCAAACACACCATTCTCCTCTGCTCCAAAGTTCTCACCTGTATCTTTGCTCCTTTGTATCTAATTACTCCAGGCACAGTTGTCAGTGTGGTGAACTCATAGGCTGCCACTTCCGAGTACACTCCTGCAAGATTGCTCAGCAAAGTAGATTTGCCCACTGATGGGAAGCCAACGAATCCTATGCGAGCATCCCCAGTCTTTGCAACGTCAAAACCTTTGAGAGAGCAATTAGTGGAATGTCACTGACAGACTGAAAAACAGGTGGACATCAACCTTCCCCTCAGCTAGAGAACAGGCCCATTTAGAGATCTAAAGACACTCACCTTGCTTTATAATGCACGGTAGTAAACATTATGTAGAGAAGGCACAACAATGATGACAAAGAACGAACAGGAATGCATGTTTCTCAAATACTGTAACTATGTCCCTCATTGAGTGAGAGAAATGCTGCTGACAGAAGCTCTTTACTCTTCAGATTTCTGGGCATGGCCTTCACTTAAGCATATCAGGGAAGCCCTTTTTCTAAATCTCATGTTAATTTCCATATCAATCCTGTACTAGTAAAGAGGCGCCTTTCTGCAAAAGTTCTCTTTCAATTTTTTGTTGTTGTTCAGTCGCACAGTCAAGTCCGACTCTTCGCAACCCCATGGATCACATCACGCCAGGCCCTCCTGTCTTCCACCGCCCTCCGGAGTCTGCTCAATCCCACATTTCTTGCATCGGTAGCACTGTCTAACCATCTTATCCTTTGCCGTCCCCTTCTTCTGTTACCTTCAATCTTTCCCAGCATCAGGGTCTTCTTCAGTGAGTGCTCCCTTCTCATTTGGTGGCCAAAGTATTTGAGCTTCAGTATCTGTCCTTCCAGGAAACACTCAGGTTTGATTTCCCCTAAAGGACTGACTGATTTCCCCTAAAGGACTGACTGATTTGATCTCCTTGCAGTCAAAGGGACTACATAGAATTTCAACCAAAAAGGATGCTCAGCGTTTAATTGCTGATACAAGATCTACTGTTTTATGAGCAAGGCAATAAATATGCAAAATTCTACAGCCTGTATACATGGTTATTTGTTTATTTTATTCATACTCCATCTTTCTCCCCAATGGTAGCTTACAACATTATCCTCTCCCCATGTTATCCTCACAACATCCCTGAAATGTAGGTTAGACTGAAGTGTGTGACTAGCCCAAAGGCACACAGCATGGCATGCTGGGGATCTGAACCATGGGCCTTCCAGATCCTACTCCAGCACTCTTATCAGTACACCAGACAGGCTTTCTAGTCTATCCAGTACAATATGCTTGTTTCAGGATGACTAGATGGGTTTTGCTTGCTTGGTATTTGTTTTTATTGAAATGACTGTCTCTACATCTCTTAGGCTTTTAGACAAAATTACATCTAAATAAATTATGCACATACAATGCTGTATTTGGTGCCATTTATTTCCGTTCTAATAGTCACAATCACAGGCAACTTAGCTATATGCCCTCACCCAATCCAAGCCAAATTATAGTTTTAGGGTTGAATTACTATCACCTCCGTCATTCCATAGGAAATACGCACCTTCCCCTGGACCGCCCCCTCCACCTCCTTTTGGGGTGATGAGCTCTCGACGCAGCTTGGCCAGCCGAGCCTTCAGCAGCCCCAGATGGTGAGCCGTGGCCTTGTTCTTCTGTGTGCGGGCCATCTGAACAATGGTGTAAGAATACACAGACATTTAAAGGATTGTGAGAAAACTAGGGGCAGAAAGCTAAGGTTACACACAAAGGAAAGCCAAAAAGGTGCCTGCCTTGTTCCATGGTTCCTCAGATTTTTATAGAAGGGCACAGGTATTGTTCCCATGGTAGGAACGTATCTTATGGTACTTTCACCTGTGTGACCCAGAGGCCTCTGGGAAACAGCACCTGACCCCAGCAGAAGGGAGATGGGATAGTTTTCACTGTCAGCAAATGAGTGAGAGCACTGAGACCTATCTCCTGGGTTAATAGGAATCACTGCTCAGCCACAGAACCTGTTTGCGGCATCATACCTATTGTACAACAACAAAACACAGAGCATTTGCAAAGTGATTTTCCCTTGCTTCTGGGAAACCATACACATATTTGGAATGGGGGGAAGCTTCTCAGTCAGATAGCAACTACATCCATACAGTCAAGTTGCCGCAACACAGTCAGATTTTAAAACCCAATTATCAGATAGTGTGAAACACCTCCTCTCTCCTAGACTTTTCCAAAGGTGCTTCTAGTTCGGGATTTTGTGTCCAGCACCCAGCCAGGTGCTTCTAGGAAACTTACGAGCCGAACCTGATGGCACAACAGCCATCCATCACTGTATGCCCCATCACATCTGGTTGTTGTTGTTGTTCAGTTGCACAGTTGAGTCCGACTCTTTGCAGTCTGGTATTCGCAGGTTAATTACTTCTGAATGCACAGATTCCATATAGCCATAATAAATTACAGGTATTGACGGACCGAGCCTCCATTAATTTATTGACTCTTTATCTAAAGCACCACCCGTCACCATGTTTTGTTGTGAGTCCACGCAAAGTGCTTTCTTCCAGCTTCGTTGAAACCCCGGCCAAGGAGCTTAATTGGAGAAAGATTTCCCTGCCTCCACCCCATGAGAATTTGATTCATCATCGAGCTTCCAGCCAGAAGCCCGCGATGAGTATAAAGGTGGCGGCCTCCGCCTGTTCCCAGTGGTAGACTGCCACTATTCATGAAGGCTCCCCTCCGCTCTCATAGGAAGGCTCCTGCTCTCTTTCTTGCCAGTTACCTCGGCCTCTATTTCGGCGATCTTCGCTAACGTCGTACTCATGATGATAACGGTGGTGGCGACAGCACAACCCCACGGTTCTTTTTCTTCAGCCCTGTGCCCGCGCAGCCGCAGAACTGAGCTCTCGCGAGACTTCCAACAAAAGAGTAACCGGTGCTGAACGAGAACTAATTCGACCTTCTTCACACATCTCTCTATGGTCCTCCGATGGCTCCGAAAAGGAGGGGTGACATAGAGTGAGGGGCTAGAGCGGAACACGGTAGTTGGACGTCAACCGGGGAGGTCACCTGATTAGTACCCGCCCGTCTTGCGGAGGCTCGGAGGAGGGGTTATTGCTCACTACCTTGTCGTCGTTGGTTCTGCCAAAGGTGTAATATGAAAATTACATAACAAAGGGACTGCCTCTGACCATGTGCTGAGTTCCGTGTCCTCTTCAGTCACCACATGCGTATTTAGAATGGGGAAGGTGACGCAGTGTAATAGTTACGAGTGTCAGATATAAGATTATGACTTTTCCCGGGGGTGGGTGGGTGACCTCCTGTCAGACTTGGATTCTTCTTTTGATCTTCCTAGAACATACGTGCAGGAGGAGAGAAAGAGTAAGAATCCCCCCCCCCCAGCTCCGGCTAGATAGAGCAGTTCCCTGTACATTTATCCTGAATAGCCTAGCGTTATCGTGTAATTGCCCATTTTATTGTATGTATCTATATATAAAGAGATTAGAGTATTAATTTCTATCATCCTGCCCACCAAAAGTGTTCCGGGTGGCTTACAATTATAAACAATATGAACAACAATCTCATATGAAAATCACATTAAAAAAGCATGATCAACAGAAAGTCATCTTCAGCAAGCACTGGAAACTTTAGCACACTTGGTTCCAGCCGAGTGTTTGTGGGCAGGGTGTTCAAAAATTATGGCACCAGCACAGAAAATAGCTCTGTCTCAAATAAATATGGGAATACTTGTTAGCCTTTCAACTATCCCGGTTCCAGACTGTAGGGTTTTAAATGTCAGCACCGACTTAAGCCCAGAAGCAAATCGTTTGCCAAGATAAATCTTTTTGCAGTTGAAATATGTGCTCTACAACTCAAAACACCAATCTTTTTGATGCATTTTGAATTAGCTGAAGCTTCTCAACAGTCTTCAATAGGGGCAGCCCTGGAGGGAGGGGGCCCAGAAGAAATACAAGGGGGCCGGGCCCCGTGGGCCCCATGTTAGCTACGGGCCTGCTTCAATAGCATCTCCACCTAAGGTACATTGCAGTTAGCCTACTTTAGATGTGAGTATAGCATGAGCAGGGGAACAGTGGTTCCTCTCTTTACTTGTGCTGGAGGAGGGAGATTTTAGACTGTACCCACATGGCACATCACACATTTCCAAGGTAACACACCAGGAACTGTCCCTGTAGCTTTGAGTCCTTGATAAGGTGCAACTAATGAGAACCAGAACAAATACTTTTCTTTCTATCCCAATTATCCTACAATGAATTGATAGGGCCAACATTTTTCCATGCTATTTTCTTCTACCCCTTTAACTGGCACAGGGTTACCTGTAATATCCTTCTTTAAATAAATAAAGTTGGGTTTGATTTTTTTTAAAATTTACTCTCCTCCATACCTGTGAAGTCCCCAAGTACGGGAAAATCTCCACCATATTAGTGCGATGGCCCTTTTTCATCTATTGATAAGATAGGGACCATCAAACTCACTATTAGAAGAATTGCTTTGCTGAGTCAGGACAAAAATCCATCCTGCCCAGGACACGTCAACAGATAACAAACTCAGAGAGAAAGATATAGAGAGGGAGAGAGCACTTCCATTTGCAAATATAAACTACTGAAGAGGCAACAGAACTTCACTCCCACATAATGCTGTCTCCGGTATATTGCATGTTATTTGTGAAGTAAAATTATTTCCCCAGCATTTGAGGGCAAGTCATACAAAAGTGCCCCTTCAGACTTCCCTAGTAATCAGTGACTTGGATGGCATGTGATCTAACTTTCAGCATTCTAGCTAGCATGAACCATTTGGGGAATACTCCAAAATGAGCCCCCCATTTTGTAGGGGATTCATAAATGCTTCATTTTTATTTTTCTAGTAATAACCATGCCTTGGTCATATAGACCAAATTTTAAGGCACATGTCTCAAAAGAAAAAAATCCGTTTTTTAACAATTCAATAAATGTTTATTGAAAGAAAGTTCAAGCATACAGAAGAAATAACATGCATAAACCAATAAAGCAGTGCATAACATTGCTATTACAGATAATGTTGCTTATAACGTTCAGCTTGTCAATTCCATAGTTTCTAAGTAACCTGTGATTGATATGGGGTGTTTCAGAATACCCCCACGCTAACTTAAAAAGTACAATAGAGCACTCAGACCTTTAAAAGAACTACTTATAAATGCATCCATTCACTATAACTGAGATGTGTTGGCAGAATGTCAGTTCTGTATACTATCAGAGCGTACCACTTTCTTACAAACCTAGATTGTGACCCTGCCTGTCTTTGTATGTATGTGGCATATGTGTCTGCAATTTTGTCCATCACATAATGATCCCAGCATTTGTTTCACTGCTGATTCAAGGATGGAGGTACCGTAGATATCCAAGAGGCCGCAACGACTAGCTGTGCCATGGTGATTAAGGTGGCTGCTAATTCAGAGATATGGACTTCTCTATCATCTGTGGTATGTGTTGAATTCAGAAGTATTATGGCTGGATCCAGTGGGATATTCTCTGACGTTATTTTGTTTATTTCTTCCAGTACTTGAATCCAGAAGCCTTGTATAGTTGTGCAGGACCACCAACAGTGATAGAAGTTGCTTGAGGAGCCACAACCTTTCCAACAATCAGAGCTGTAGTTTGGATTCATGTGCTGTAATCTGGCTGGGGAGAGGTACCATCTGGTAAGAGTTTTGAAATATTGCAGTCTGATGTTGAAGACTCTTGATTTATTCGGATAGGAGCTCCAGATGTCTGTCCATTGGTGTAGAGTGGTGTCTGTCTGAAAGTCTTTGTCCCAGGCCTTCATGTTAGGAAGTCATACATTTTTCTGTGTCCCAAAGAATTTTGTACAAGATCGATAACAGCCCATTAGAACCGAAGTTTGCTTTGCTGAGAAGTTGTTTGAAGGATGTTTTAGGTCGTATCAGCGTGTCCAATTCAAAAGAATCCTAACCAACTCCAGTGAGTCCACTAAGGACCTGGCTGTTACTGGCAGAATCAGCAAGCCTCCATAGCCCATTTGCAGGTTGGCTTGCTTTGTATCATGAAGTCAACTTGGACTTCCAAGTTTTGAGTTAGACTGAGCCATTTTAAAACTGATTTAGTAATCAGGGCATTTTAGACTTATGTCCCAAATTTCAAGTTTCGGTGTGGGACTACTATAGCCTCTTGAAGAACATATTGAATCTACTGTTTAGAATGCTAGTTGAAGCCTTTTAGATTTTTATCATAAGCAAAGTGAGATGACCTGTGTGCACAGAAAATTTCTAGTGGTTGTGAGGTGAGTCTCGTAGGACAGTAGTTTCCAACCTTTCCAGACCTGAGAGCCAGTGTGTCAGCAAGCATGTGTCGGAAACTCATGCAAAACCAGAACCACATGACAGGAAAAGGGGAGCCATTAGTTACAATCTCACTGGTTTCAAGGCCAAGACTATGGGCAGCGGAGCAAGAGAAGTAGGGTCTGGAAAGACAGAGCACTGGGAAGGAGTACAGTGGTAAGGGACAGGCAACAGAGCCATGAAGAAACCCTCTAATAGCTTCACCTTTCCACCCTGCAGTTTTTGTCAGCAGGTCTGCAAAAAGAGGAAAGCCTTCCAAAAAGTGGCATAATTAATTAAAAAACTAAAAAGCAGAACAAGTGGCTTGGGACAGGTGGGTCTCTGCATCCCATTTTGAAGGCCCCGTTACAGGTTGAAAAGCCTACTTCCCCCCCAAAAAAAATCATTTACGTTATTTCTAGTCCATCTTTCTCAATGAAATTCAAAGCAGATTACATGACCTCATTGTAATCAACAGGACAAGCCTTTACATTTTCTTCAGCTATAGGAGCCAGCCCCAAAATTTAGGGCCCAGATTTTCAGTCTTCAGAGTGTTATATATTAATTTCCTAATTATTGTTACTACAAAACCTAATCTTCAGTTTCTCATAATTTTATTAAAGCTATAATAAAAGTGTTATATAAAAGCAACTGTAATGTTATTTTTTGGATTCATCAATATAATGGTGGCTTAGACACTAATACAACTAAGGTTGTTATAGATATTATAATGGTGCAGGTATTTTAATGTTTTTTTTAAATAATGCTATACACAAGACCATAAAATCAATTTTTGCTGTATATATGAACCGATCTTATCATTATATTTTTTATTTTTGGAAATGCTCTGAAAATGTATTATTTGCCTTTTTGATTATAGTTTATGACAATTGTAGTAGTATTAAAATGTAATGGAACATATAATGTAACATTTAATGTCTAACAGTCAACATTAATACTAACTAATGGTATTAATTCTAGGCTTTAATGTTAAGTATACATAACATTTTCAAACATTCTGTATGTGTATTTTAAATGTCTAAGTAAAATGTTCTATATTTACTCTGATGCTGATTGTTCTTGTTATGAATAAGAATTTGTATAACATATCTCCATTTCCCCCCCCATCCCTATCTTAATTTAAAAAATAAATAAAGGTGTTGTATATAAATACAGAGAGTGTCCTGGTTTATTTATTTATTTATTTAAATTTCTATACTGCCCTTGACCCCGAAGGGTCTCAGAGTGGTTTACAGAGGGTATATATACCAATTATTCCTAATCTAGGGCCACAATTCATTTTTGGGAAGGGGCTGCCTACTGGCACCCAGCAGCGTACGTTCTGTTGCTTTCTCTCTGGGCGGGCTTCTGATGTTCTGATGTTGTCATCACTACAACAAAAAGCTAACCTATTTCCTAGTTTAAGTTCTCCCCTAATTATCATTCCATTGTTGTTTTAAAAGTTACACTTAACTGAATACTGGGGCCAGTAGATAAAGCAATGGGTTAAGAAATGAATTCATCTTCCCCCACTGAATGGTGTAAAGTGAAGATATAAATAAACAATG